TTTGTTTTGCTTCCTACTGAAGTGTCTGTAGGAAAAGATAGTGAACATTGGCATGTCCCTAATGTAGAAAACTTGCAAACTCTTTTTCTAACATGCTCTTAACTGTCATGATGTCTTTCCTTGTTTCCTGCTATTTTTCCTTGCCTTTCCCCAACGCGCAGTGGTGATACCAGGTTTACAGAACATGTGGGTGAATCATTCCTTTGACATACAGGTGTGGTGCAAAGATCTCCACTGGCATCTTCTTTGGCTGTGACCTGGTGAACTGGCTCATGCAAGTTGGCCTTGCCTCTGACCGTGGTGAAGCTGTGGTGTATGGAGACAGACTGATGAAAGGAGGCGTCATCCAGCATATTACGAATGAATTTGAATTTCGGGATGAATATCTGTATTACCGCTTTATTCCTAAGAGATCAGTTGCAGTTGAGAGCCATTAACCTGAGCATGTAGGCAAAGAGTACAGGCAGCTAGGGGTGAGTGGGAACACCTCCTCTGACTTCACCACTGAAATTGGAAGTATTCAGGGCTCTCAGAGAATTATGTTATTCTCTTTTGTAAAGTTGGGAGGTGTGGTTCTACTTGTGTCTGTTCTGAAAGAAATGGTAGCAAGTAATATTTAGGGAGCATTCCAACCAAAATGCAATAGAACAAAACAAGATGTTCTGGATTTAGAGCATTTTTTTAATTTCCATTTTGAGCAAAACAAATAGTAAAATGATGTGTCACTGTCATGTTATATAGAGGCGTTATAACAGCAGCTTTAGTGACTGGTGCCACAGTGGGAAAAAAACAACATGAATGAGGAGTATTTTTCATGTTGTATTTTTTCCATAATTTAATATGATAAAATACTGATTCCCTTTCACAGTCAGGCATCTCCTGATTTCATAAAAGTAGAATTTCTTCTATCATATCTCAGTTTTTAATACTCCACTCCTTTCTAACACCAAGAACTTGTTCAAGTTGTTTACACTTCAGATCAGGTGGCTTGTTTCTCACATCATTCTGATGTCAGAATGTTAAAGCTGAGGAAATACTGAGTGGAATAAATAATGATTTTGTACAAATTTACCAAATCTTAAAAACCTCAAGATACCCAGTGTTCTCCCAGATTAGGAGATGAGATAATGGGATTTCCAATAAGCAAGTGGTTCTGTACTTTTGCCTTATGGTGGTAGTAACTTTGTCAAGAGTAGATTTTTGCCTTCTGAATTTAACCTTTCCAGTTTAATTCAGAAGTGCCAGCCTCAAGTAAAAATGTTATGGAAGCACTGGATACCTGTGCAAGTCAAGATGAAAAAAATTATCAACTCCTAAAACCTTTTAAATGAAAGAGTGATGTTTTTGAATCTACTATATAAAGAATCCTAACTGAACATCCAAGTTGGGGTTTAGAGTAGCTAAAGATCCTAAAGTTTTAGTATTGGTTGCCTAACACAGGTTTATAATAAGCCTCAGGTACCCTTCTATGATGTTTAAATAGTTACTGTAGTGTCATTCAGATTCCTGTGTACTGAAGGCAGAATCTGATAAACAGTGTGTCTTCTGCAGTATTTTGCAAAGGTTGAAGACAAACTGTAGTATCCAATAGCCGTTATGCTGCCCTGTTAAAACTGCAGGAATAGCATTTATATATCTATATAAAAAATTAATACAGTGAGGGAAAGGATCCCAAGTATTTTAAAAAAAATAATAATTTTTTTTTGCTCAAGCATATGAATAATTTCTCATCCTTTTTTTTAAGAAAAGTCTCTCCCTGGTTTTGCTCTTGGTTTTTTTAGTACACAGATTTTTATTACAGCTACTGTGCACCTACTTTGTATTAAGAATTAAAAGTGATTTTAGCAGCGTAACCTACTGTTCAAGAAACAGTTGTTTTATGGTAGCTCTAACTCCATGCAAGACTTAGATTGGAAAAAAAAATCCTATTACTGTCAGTCATACTGCACTTCTGCAGTGTGCACAGAAACACAACTGCATCCAACTGCATACGTGTGCTATACAAACTGACATATGTTAATGTTTTCCAGCAGCAGAATAACTGACATTTATATCAGGCTGTGGACACAAAGGAAAACGATAGCATATTTCCATTACAAGTGCTGAAGACAGCTGTATCTAATATTTTGGAATAATTAGATATGTGTGACTTAAGAGCAGAAGCCATGAGTATGTCTGGCTTCTAAATACTGTAACTTGTCAATAAATCTGTTACTTGATTTCAGAGTTCCGAGCTTTGGTGTGCTGTGAGGTGTGGGAGGGTTATGTGTGCATGTCAAGATTTGTGACAAATGTATTGATTTTCTGGGAGATTGGGTTAAGTGGCTCTTGGGTTTTAAATTTGGTATTTCTTATATCCACCCTTGATGCTTTTCAAATAGGCACATGGCTTGTTAATGGGTGTTTACACAAAGATACCAGTTTTCATCTAGCAGCCTAAGCGGATCTTTATGAACATTTCACATTATAATCTACTTACCAAATATCATCTACTTACCAATATATCGGTTTTGTTTGTTCTTCAAATGTTGAAGAAGTTGATCTTGGGTAAGTTTTATGGTCCTATGCACAGTCATTGTTCTTGCACTCTCATCTTTCTCATTTTCATCATAAAGTCCTGCCCTTCCCTCCTTACTTACAACAGCTGTGCTGTTCCCTAGATTTGAACATGTCTGGTTTAAGTAAGTGCTCAAAATATCTGCTTAGAGAAGGCTCCCTGTTACAAATCTAACACCTTTAATTAACAACTGACACCAATTTCTGTTAGATTGTTACAACATTGTGACTGCTGGCATCATAACCCTGTAGTCCAATAACTAAAGAAACTAGGAATGAAATATGGGATACGATCATCTGTTTCTAAATCATTGGTAATTCTGGTAGCTAAGAAGAAACTTTGAATGGTTTTAGAAAGTTAACTTTTATCTGATAAATATTTGCTTTTACCAAGGAGCACTGGCAAGCTTTAAAATAGTTGACAATTTGATGTATGTTAATAACTGATCTACTGACGTATGAAATTTTGGTGATCAGAAATAACTTTGCTTTGAAGATGTGGTCAATGATTCTTTTATTTTTGAAGGTGGATTAGTTTGGGATAAGTTTACTGAACTGATGTTCCATGAAAACACCACTAAACAAGCCCAGAGGAACCTCCGGAGAAACACTGGATCTTTTCTTCTAGCACTAATCTAATAATAATGATGATAATGGACAGGGATAGATATGAAATTTTTAGTTTTCTAGGTAGCAGTGTTAGTACGGGGTATTTTTAATAATGATCCTTCATATATCACTAGACCTGTTAAAATAAGCTGTAACAGTATTCCTACATGAAATACATGCAAAGATTGCCCTCTAGAGGACATTCTGAATTTTTTTTTTTGATGTATGGTTGTTGGGGGGGTGGGGGGGTATTTATTCCTCCTGATCTCATCTTCACTTTCTGTTTTTACACTGCACGTGTTCTAGGAGGATGAAATCCCTGGAAAAAAGGTACCAAAATATTCTGTACCCTGTTGGCCATCACTTGATCTGTCACCACACATCACATTGGTTTTGCTTTGTGTCCTGTAGACCAGCCAATAAAAAAAACAGCACAGAAACTAGAGAAACAGTTGAAGTGTATCTGCCTATATTACAAACAGACCAATATGCTTAACCTGGTAAATTGCCACCCCATGATTAAGTGGACAAAAAGTTCACTTAAAGGCATTTTCCACCACCTTCACTACTTTCATTCCTGTGTAACTTCACTGTATTTTCATTGTAGCATAAAATTATTTCTCTTGTTTTGCTATGCTACCTGTAAACTTGACTCATACATTGATTTCCAGCAGTTTTACCTGGTATTTATTTATGCTTTGAAGTCATCAAAGAGATAGTGTGGATGATGAAAAATAGGAAAAAGATACACGTGACTGTCAGATATAGACATCCATGAGGAAAATGGGTAAATACAGCAAAATTTGATTAAATATACCATGCAGTTCATAAACATCCACTGTACTATTGAACTTCTAGAAATTTTGTTGGCAACAAAAAGGGTCAGAGTGAACTCAAGCTTACCTTGTGTCTTACCTCGTGTCTTACCTCCTACTCTATTTTACTTATTACTGCCAGTTGGTACACAGGATTGCTAGAAGAAGAAAGTTCAAGAACCTTTCCTGACCCATTAGTTTCTGTCTGTGGCTCTGAACACGGTATCCCAAATTAACTTCTACTTTCGTTGTACCATCAGGAAGAACATATTCTGCCAAGTGCTTAATTTTCTTACTCATTCTCCAGGCTTCATTGTCTATATATTATTTTGTTTGCCTATACTTACTGGTTTTACCAGTGGGGAGATAGAACAGTTTTCAAAATTATGCATGTGTGTAGCCCCACCTTTAGCATCTGGAATGGCTCTAGAAACTGACTAAATCTAGAAAAAACATTGAAGAATGGTCTTTTTGTGGTCTGCTGTGGGGGTGCTGTGTCATGTCACATACTCTTACTGCAGCTCTAATGCTCCATTTCACTCTACATGTTCTCTTATGAAGGTTTGCAGAAGTGCTAGGTTTTGAGTTTTTGGTTTGTTTGGGCTTTTTTCTTCCAGTCATAATTTTTATCCTGCTTGATCACACAATAAAGCCAGAATCTTCTTTCTTTGTTGTTTGCTCAGTTTGTCTCTTGTCAGAGATAGTAAAATTAGTGTCACCTGTTTACCAATATTCTTATGCAGGATCAGGGAGGAATGAGTTCCTGGCAGGGCAAAAAAAGCTTGATTAAATGAACTCTGTAGTCTAGTAATTTTGGCAAGACAAGTCATGGTTAAAAGGCATTATATATCAAGTAAGAGTGTAAGTGTCCCACTGAGTACATGTATATACTTGTGTACCCCAGCCTCTTCCTTTCTATTTATCTGATTTTAAAAAGTGACAATTCAGGAAACATTAAAAAACTCCCACATGATGCTATAAAGTGTATTGCAGAATTAATTTGACAATGATCATATTGTATGTAAGTAAGTTTATTTTTCAGTATCAGGGTGGGGAAAATAATGGGAAGTGAAAATTGTGTGGTAACTTGCAGAGTGCTTGCATCACTGAATTCCATGTAATCAGATTTCACAACAAATCATGCTAAAATTGTAACTGTGATTTGGTTCTAATATACCTTGAACTCTTAACCTCATTTTTGCACTGAAGGAATAGAAGGTTCATATATGACATGTACCTTAGAATGGTTTTATCAAACATCTGAATATCAATCTTACTTGACTTTGCATATCATTTTTATTCAGTGCAAGTAATAGCTTCTATATTTTAGAAAGTCCTTCACCATGGCCATTTTAATTCTGGCAATATGAAATTCTGCTATGATTATCTTGACTATAAAAGCTACATGTGCGTACACTAGAACCGAGTTCTCCAAATCCGAGTTGTTCTTCATCTGGAGACGGGGTTGTCCCACAATTTAATCAAGCTATTACAGTCTAACTGCAGCTGTTTCTTGGCAAAATCAATCTCTGCTGACAGCTTTATGCCACGTACAAAGCCACTGCCTAGCTCTTAAGAACCTTTTCAGCATTGCTTCATACAACCAAAAGCTGTTTGGCCTGAATATGAATGCACGTCTTTAAAACTGTCCATACTAACTGGCATATTGAAAATAGGATGTAATCTATATAGCCACTTCTTTAGAAAAGTTCATCATAAAGCTGAATTTTATCACATTCAAATAGTAGTTTTAGCTATATATTTTGAGTTCTTCTTCTACACACTGTGAAAAAAGGTTAACTGCTTGGCTAGTGTCGAGACATCCATTTTGCAGGATTGATTCCATTTCATTTATCTTCCGTTTCTCCAACTCCTGTATATCTTTCAGCATCTCTTTACCTTTGCCCTGCAGAAAAAAATGTCCATATTTCACTAAAAGCTATACAGAGCATGTAGTGTTCACCCTAACAAAATTCTGTTCTACTGTCCCTATTTTAACCTCTTAATAGTTACTCGGGTACAAGTTTGCATTGGTAGAAATTAGCACTAAGACAGGTTTCCCTAGATACCTTTCCTGATATGTAATATCTTCATCTGCCTACATTCTTGTCTGATGGACTGAAAATGAATAAAATTAAAGCTCTCTAGGTATTTATGCTACCAAAACATAAGTGGGCATGTGCCTTATTTTTTAGAACACGTATCTGTAGATAGGAGAGATGCTACTATTAAGGCAAGCAACTACATCCCTGCTTCACCTTTGTGTCCCTTGACCTTTCTGATCCTGTTTCCTTTCTTGTCCATACCAAGCAATGATAAAAGGTATGCCCTCCTTACTGCCTGAGACCAGGGCCCTGAAGAGTTTTAAGTACTCTTACCAGGAGTTGTACTGTGGCTGCTCAAGTACTTCCCCATTATCTGACTAGTGCAGGAGTATGTGTGGCCTGCTGCTTTGCAAGATGAGCATTACAGATACCTATCTGTGGCTAGGCCTGGGAGTACAGCAAAATGCTAGTTGCAGTTTTTAGTGTTTGAAACATATGCCTGCCAGATGCCAACACCATGGGCTGCTTCTGGTACACTACAATGTTCTTCACAATCCATCAAAGGGCATTATGTGGTAACACATTAACAAAATGTGAGCTTATATAAATCACCTGCTTTCATTGAAATCTAATTTAAACAATGTACCTCGGTAGTTTCCATAACTACAGCAGCACTTTCATGTTTTTTATAGAGCTCGTGTCTTCGATCTGGCTTAGTCTGAAAACGTGGTTGCTTCTTAACTGGATCATCTTGGCCAAAAGTAGGGGAGCTGGTTTTCAGCAACTGAGTAACACTGGGCACAAAAATGAAAGGCTTGAATACAGACCTAGAAAGAGAAAACAGAACAGAGATCCTTTACTGATAGTTTTTATAGAACTGTTGAGTGGGTAAATTGCTGTATTTTCCCCATTCTTCTAATTCCTTCTTTTAAGAAACGTCTTTTTTAAAAAGATTATCTCCTGATGCCTGATGTTTAAGTCGGTGACGTAGCAGTGTTTCGTTAAATGGGTTGGTATATAGTATAATGTACATCATGTTCCTCCTACTTTTTGATTGTGCTTTTTTGGGGGAGGACAACACAGAACATGACAGGATGGACTAAAAAAGAATATAATTAGAAAAATTGCATCACTTCTTAGTTTAGATATTTGTGAATTTTATCCTAATTACTAGCTGCCACATCACCTTGCAGGATCTGGAGTTCCAGTAAAGAAGTGAATACATGGCAGATTAGGCTGCTGAGGCAGTACAGACACCATGCTTCCAGTTGTCATAAATCCACCTTCCATATTAATGCCACTCTCTTTGTCACGAAGAATTCCCATCATTATTTCAGAAGTGATAGATCCTATTAAAGATACAATACAATTATTTACACACACTGCTACTTGTAATACATGTAAATGGCATGTGCTTTACAACTGGCTGCTTTTTCCTTTAGTAGGTAATACTAATTTTAGTTTGTCCGTGTTGGCACAAAAAAAAAATCCTTTCAACAGCATACCTTAATATGTAATACACTTTAAAATGTTATTGTTTTCCCCAAAGTATTTATTTCAAGGAATAGGTGATAATGAGCTGTAACACTTATGACTTAAAGAAGGGGAGAGGACGACAACACATGATGCTTCCCAGAAAGGTAAAATACATATGGCTAGCAAATGGTCATTCAAACAGTAACTTTTCAGTTGAAAATTAGCAGCTTGAATTAAAGGCTGAAATTTCTGAGCACTGCATGGAAGATAAATCATTATAATAGTTATTAATATTTGTACACAGTTAATACCACTATATTGCTTTAGAAATGTAAAAATAACAACTGTGCACAGATTTTGTGTGTAACTTTGCAAATGAAACACCAAGACTGTCACTTTTTTTTTTTATTATTTATTTTCAGTTATCTGACCTTCCAAAGCACTTAAGCTTTAAGTTGACAATAGAAAGGATGCACTGGAGTAACACATTGTATACTCAGAAACTACAATAGTTCATCCATTTGTAAAGAAGTCTTAATCAACTACGTATGTGAGGTATGCTGCCAAATGTCTCTTTAAATTCTTCTTGGGTGACACAAACCCCTTTCCACATATGCCTCTGCATCTAGTGTTCAAATGATATTGCTGATTGTGTGTAACATACACTGAAGCTTAAATATCAGCACAGTATCACCAATCCAATATTGTAACAGGTAGCACTTGCAGTAGTTTTCTGGTGTATCAATTGAGGGTATGCTTATGGCAGAAAACAGGAATTCATGCAATTTTATTTTATTTGAAGGTGTCATCCACCATCTCATCTTTTAGTGTTCCCCTCAGTGAAGTTCTACCTGCATAAGTACTTCTTCTTAACTGCCTTGCTGTTTTCTCTTAAAATAATGATTCTGCTGCTGAGTCAGACTTCTCTAGTATTATTTTTTATACACAATTCAGTTTGCTGTGGACAGGCATGCAGCACTACATTTCAGCAAGGAAATGCTCTTAAGTATTCCCACAGTAGCCTGGGAAAGTCAGAGAATTCAAGCAATCAGCAAGCTAGATGAATTAAGGATATAAAAGAAGCAGCAATGAGTTTGTCAACTGCCAGTTGGCAACTTGTCCATCAGGAAAGAAGGTATTGCATATTTTCCACTAGACATTTTTATTATTTCATATTTCTGAAATACATTCCCTACTTTTTTGAAATAGAAATAATATTTATCTAAAATGGTCTTCACATGGTAGGCAGCCTGAAAAAAAATGTAATGCCACTGAGTGAAAAAGCTGAGAAGGATACATTAACAAACCAGTGATTTTACTGATGCTGTAAACCAAATAGCTTTTAGTTAGGGCACGTATTTAAAATAAATCTAAACAAACTGAAACCATACTAGGCTGATAACCAGAACACCTAGTGTGATTTTTAAAATGGCTCAGTTAAATGCCAGAAAATGGGGATTTAGAATGAAAACACTGATAGAATCTCAGCATTTTTATAATACAAGTAAATACAGGTATTATGAAAAGGTTTTCGGTATTCAGAACCTGCAATTCCCAAAATGAATGCAGGATTTACATGATCACTAAGGCAGGATAGCAAAAGGTGATTCATTCTGATGCATTAACTAAATGCTAAACCTGGTCTGGCAGAGCTCAGCCAAATAAATTAAAAAAACACAGGGGCACAATTTGGATTCAGATTAATTACTTCAAATGAGTAAGTGAATACAAACACAGCAAAAATCTGCCAGGTGCATGCAGTTTGAAGAGAAGTAATAGCTTTTTTTCTATAGAGGTCTGAAAAATAAGTGAATAAGTGATTAGGAGCACCTGTGTAGACAGAAAAACATTTTGTTCTGCTCTCAGGGTGTCGTATCAGACCGCACAAGATTAGACTAGCGGTTACTGTGAAACTACAAAGGTTTAAAACCAATCTCAAAAAAAAAAAAAAATGCAAGTTATGTATCTGAATGCTACACTGTTGTCTTAGGCCTCTATGAATGGTACCAGACTGAAGCTGTTCATAAGGTTCTGTTTGTGGCTGCAAACTACTGGGAGCCTGTTTTAGCCTCTCTTTTGGGGTTGCTTTTTTTTTTTTTTTTTTTTTTTCCAGAAGTTTAGTAATAATGCATAGCAAAATGTTTCAAAGCAGGTCTTACAGAGTGTTTAGTGGTACGGTGAGAATGTGTCCTTTCAGTGTTGTTAGTGTAGCTGTGTGTTTGATACTTGACCCTTGTTTAATTTTGCCTCACCAACAAATTGACAATAATGGATAGAAGACTTCAGCGTTTCTCCTTTGAGCAAAAAGTTATTCTAGTAAGTTTGGGTTCACCATATCACATGAATGACTGCCCACATTAGATGTCTAATCATTTATGATTTAAATTAATATGGCTCACTAAATGCTTTGCGTATCTTAAAGATAAAAAATGGTACCTTTGTGTTTGTTCAGAAGTTTATAGCCTTCACAATATCGTCCTCTGGATGTGGTCATTCTGGCTGTATTTACATAAGAATACGTGGCAGCGAAATCAAATTCCTTTTCCCCATCCCACCAGCCTTTGCCTTTGGCGTATTCCCTCAGTCCTGGGTGTTCTCTGTCAATCTTGGTTGTGATAGAGAGCTGGTTGGAAATATTTCGTACACCTCCTGTTTGTAAGGTAAGGAAAGAATCATTCTAATACACTGAATTTTTTTATTGGCATTTTGTTTACAATTAGCTTACTGAAGTAAACTATGCTCTGAAGAGTTTTCTACAAGATCTGAGAGTCCTGTGGTTTTATTTTTGGCCCTCTCTCCCTGCCTATATATATCCTTCTGATTGAAATTCCACTGGCACTCAGTTCTGACTCACTTCTAGTTCCAACATCTTACTTCAGGTTCTGCCCTGATTATTCTTATCTTTATGTTGTTCCTTTTAGACCTCCAAATCTTGTCCTCTTAAGTCGGCTGGAAGAATCAGCCACTTGAGGGCCCAATGCATTGATCCTGTCAGTACTACCCTGCCATCAAATGGAATTGTCATTGATTGCCAACATCCTTAGGACCACACATAATGCTGTCACTTTCATGCTGTGACCCTCTCGCTGCCCTCTATTTTCCAAGTGCAGAACTGGTCCTCTGACTCTGAAAAGGCCCCCTGTGACTCAGCTTCTCTGTGAAGGGGTCAGCTACTGCACACTGATGACCTAGGAAGCAACTTCTGTTGTTTACAGGCACACATACGTATGATGCCTTAATGAAATGAAAAGTGGAGAGCTGCTGATTGTCATTCCATTTGAAATGTTTAAAATGAAAAGCATCATCCATACCTTCTACTTTTTCTGCTGCCCAGTATTTTCCTGATGTCTCCAGCACCCATGCTTCCTTTCTGTCAGCTATCAGAAAGCTGTTATAGTACGTAAATGCCATGTGACTCTCCATACAGTTTCCTCCCTGTCCATATTTTTCTAGCAAATCAACTATGACAGTAAGAGCTTTTTCAGCTGTGTCTGCTCTTTCAAGTCCAAGCCTAAAACAAAAGGAAGATGTTATCTTGGGAACTATAGACTTCACATAAAACTATACAGTCTAAGTATTCAAATTGACTTGGAATGCTATTTCTATATGCACCTGATACTTGTATGCTCTGGTAAGAGAAACGAGCAAGTCACTTAAAGGGTTTGAAATAGGTCCTCTCTGTCCTTGACATGGGGAAAACAACCAAATGGAAACAGAGAAAAGCAGGGAGACAGTGGGCCTAGGACAGGAAACGTCTGTAATACCTGTGCAGGTATGGGATGGACAGTCTGCTGTAGGTTAATGAACTTACACTGGCATGCTGTAAGACAGGCACAAGAAACTGCATTATTTATGTGGAGATGTGTAGCTAAGCCTGAAACTTGAAAAAGAGGGAAACAGGAAATGAGTACAGACCCTAGAAAAAGGCCCTCACACTGGGCGCTGAGGTCTAGCTGCGCTCTTGTTAAATGTCATTTCAGTTTAGTATCAACAGTGTAGAGAGAAAAAATGATGATTTCCTTGACAGATTCTGCTCTCGTGTTTAATACCTCTCATGGGCTCCCAGTTCTTGGCGGAGATCTAATGCCTGTGCCAAGAAATACTTAACTTTTAACCATGGCTCTAGAACAGCAGGCAGACATGTCTTCTGACAGTGAACGCACGTATATCCCCATACAACTCAAGCCAGACGTTTCAAAACTAAGTTCTGAGCGGGGTACCATTTACCAGAACAGCCCGTGCAAACCTTACGAGGTCCATGCCGAGGAGCGCTTCCTCATCGCCCACCTCCTCTCTGCCCCACACCGCTTCGTTCCCGATGCACACGCCGTGCTCGTTGGCGCCCATCTCAGCCCCCCAAAGCCAGGCGGGCCGGCTCAGGACCACGGCGCACGTCTTCTCCACTTGCTCGATCGTGATGTAAGTGCACTGCAAGAAGTCAGAACACGCAACAGCTTTACCTTTCCCGCTATCGCTTTGGCGAGCATCTCCCCTTGGTTAATCCACGAAATCGCGGGCTAAAAATACACAGAAAATAGGACTAAAAGGTGGGTTTTCCCGAAGGGCTCGCCGCCCCCCGCGCCCTCACCTCCAGCGCGGCGCCGGGCGGGTGCGCGGCGGCCGGGAAGTGCACGACCTCCTGCACCTCGTCCGCCGGCCGGTCCGAGTTCTTCCCGAAGACGACGCGGGCCCCCGCCGCAGCGGGCGGCAGCGCCACGAAGGTGTCGCAGGAGCAAGGCAGCTGGCCCGGGAACATGCTGGCAGCAGCCGCCGCTCCTCGGCGTCCGGCGATGGCAGCGGCGAAGCGGGGCGGGGCTGGGCCGAGCCGCCGCTCAGGCCCGCCCCTCAGGAAGGCCCGCCCGCCGACCCGGAAGGCCCGGCGGGGACAGCTGGCTGAGGGACCGGGTCGGTGCTGGAGCTTCTGTCTCGCCGCCGCCATGGGGAAGTCTTTCGCCAACTTCATGTGCAAGAAGGATTTTCACCCCGCCTCCAAGTCCAACATCAAGAAGGTGAGAGAGGCGACGGAGCTCTTGCGGCGCTTGCCCGGCGGCTGTACTGGCCCCTCGGGCGGTCGGTTAGGCCGTGTGAGGCGCGCACCGAGGCGCTGGGACGGGGCTGGTACCGCAACGGCATGTCGGCTGTCCTGAGGTGGGACTGGGGCTGGGGCTGGGAGAAGGAAGAGGCAGAGGAAAAGTGAGGAGATAGTTGAAGTTCAGGTTTACTCGTTCACCGGTGCGTATAACCGGTGCCGTATGGCCTTTTTCCTGGCTCCACCGTTTCAGATCTGGACGAATAGGCACCACGCATCGCACAGGAGAGCTGCCGCGATGTGCCCATGTTTTCCCGGTATTTCCCACCTGTCTTGACCTGGTTCCAAATCTCTTTCCCAGAGCCGGACCATTCCAGGGGCTCCAAGAGAACCTGAGGTTTGGGGGCTGTGAGACTTCCGTCAGGAAGTGTTGCAGTGGTAAAGACAGTGTCACAGCCACGGTGTCTTCTGAGCCTGCTTTTCCCTTTGGGTCACTCAATTTTCTCATATCTCTTCAGTTTTTAAATCGTATTGCAATTGTAGCTTATAAAAATCACACTGCTTATGCAAAGCTCATTTGTTGAAATGCTGGATGAAAATAGTATATTTTATGTGATTAGAATGGGAATTTTCACTTGTTAAGTATTTTCAATAGATTAAGCCAGTTAAGTATTTATACGTGAACATATTTAGTGGTGGGGTTTGTATTTGTTTAAAATACAAACTTGTTTTAACTAGGTATGGATGGCGGAACAGAAAATATCATATGATAAGAAGAGACAAGAAGAATTAATGCAACAGTATCTGAAAGAACAGGAATCCTATGATAACAGGTGAGAACTGGCATAAGATCACACACTTTTCTCACTGCTTCAGGTTTTCATGGCAGTAAAGAGCATGTTGTGGGTTATTTGGAATGCTGCCTCCCATTTGCTGTGGTAGGAGGAGAGGACAGTGACTCATAAATTGATTTGGGATTAACTAGAGGTCACAGGAACTTCTTTAAAGTGGCTTGTGTCTTCTAATTGATTTCAGAATATGCTGTGTTGCACAGAAGAGCAAGTAACCTTGTGTGACAGTATGTTTTGTAGAATCATAGAATGGTTTGGGTTGGAAGGGACCTTAAAGCTCATCCAGTTCCAACCCCCTGCCACAGGCAGGGACGCTTTCCACTAGATCAGGTTGCTCAAAGCCTTATCCAGCCTGGCCTTGAACAGTGCTAGGGATGGGACAGCCACAGCTTCTCTGGGCTGCCTGTGCCTCACCCCCTCACAGGCAAGAATTTTTTCCTAATGCCTAATCTAAATCTCCCCTCTGTCAGCTTAAAGTAATTTCAGTTTAAAGTAATTTCAGCTTGTTCTCTCTGTGTGCCCTTGTAAAAAGTCCCTCTCCAGATTTCTTGCAGGCCCCCTTTAGATACTGGAAGACTGTTAGAAGGTTTCCCTGGAGCCTTCTCCAGGCTGAACAGATCTGTCTTTCATAATTCTGTGGAAAGTTATGTTTCAGTTGTGGTTGAAATGTATAGGTTTTGGTGTGCAACGTAACATGCAAAAGTATTGACTGGTCTCAGTTTTTTTGACATTCAACTTTTGTTACTCAAGTTAACAAATGAAAAATTGTGTTATTATGACAATTTCCTGTTGCACTTTTTTATGTATATAAATACCCCAAACTGTCCTTTTTATTTAGATTGCTTATGGGGGATGAACGTGTGAAGAATGGACTTAATTTCATGTATGAGGCCCCACCTGGAGCAAAGAAAGGTACTGTGGTTTCCTGATTGTGAGCAGACAGGACTGCAGGGCTAAAAACCTTCACAAGAAATAAGCATCATGTCTTTTATTTTAAAATAATGTGTTCGTAGTGAGGTAATGCTACAAGGTGTGATTTCCAGTTCTTCTTCTGGGAATATGCAGACATACATAGTATGTAACAATTTTGATCTCACAATGCTTTATGTTCAGACTGAGAATGGTTGGGTTTTCTTTTTAAATAACAGTACAATGTGAAGGGAAAAAGGAAAATAAAATATCTTTTCTGGCAACAGCAGAAATACTGTCCTTGACCAGAGATGTTTCTTTAGCCTATTTTGAAGCCAGTTGATGAGGAGGACTGCACCTTACCAAGGTGGTGACTCAGACCACACAAACCTGTATTTTGGCAGAGTTACTTTCACTTAAATTTCTGCCTGTAAATCAGCTTGATGCGTGTCATGCACAGAAAGTACCCAAGCAATAAGTTAATTAGTTGGAGTTTTATAAATAATAGAGATTCTTTAGCCAAAAATGCTGGCTAACCTGACTCTGGTAGGTGTGACTATGACTGTATTTAGTAGATTCATAAACAGAAGTTACTGACTACCCTGTGGATACTTACATCAGTCAATTTTAGGGAAATCTGAATATAAGTGCAGAACTAAGACAATGTACTCCCATTAAAAGAAAACATGTTCCCTTTAAAATGCATCTTTCCCATTTGTGTTAAAACCCTTGGAAATCCTTGGAGGTGCTTATGGAGCAACTTTTGCAATTGTTTTTAAAGTTCTTAAGTTAATCCTTTAAGCTTAGAGCAAATGCAATTTTAAACTAGTGATTTTTGCTAAAAATTCCTTTTTTTTTATTTAAAGTATTGTTGCTACTTTTGGGAAAAAAAGATTACAATTTTTTTGTATTTTTATATCAAATTGGTGTAGTTTTGAAAGATTATTCTTGCTTTGCAGGATTTGTAACCGTATGCTAGATGCTGATTATTTATGTGTGCTGTATTTACTTTCTAGTTGCTGAGTATTTGCACTATTGTATTAATGTAAACAAACTGTTTTGTCTCCAGCTTAGACACCAGCTGCATTTTACATGTATGAGTAACATATTATTTCTTTTCTTCCCATGATTTCTGAAAATTCCAAGAGGAAGCTAAAGAGGTATTTCATTACATTGTTTCTTTACGTTTTGTTCCTACTTACTTGAAAAGTATTGAAAAAAAAGAATCAAACTTACTATGTTTTCTATTTTATAGCAAGACGGAGAGACAGAATACAAATTTGAATGGCAAAAAGTGGCCCCTCGAGAAAAGTAAGATGTCTGATTTTATCTGAATAAATGTATTTCTTATTACCTGCCTTTCAGATTCTTTTCTCTTTTTTTCCTTCCCTTTCGTTCCCCATTTTATCTTTGAAGAGGTCACTTGTATAATCTCATCATATCCTGGCAGTTTATTAGTAAAACTTGTAAACCTGGAACTGTTTCCTTGATAAGCTCAAGTTCTTGTTTGAGTTTTACATCTGTCTGGCAAACACATTAAAACTCATGTTTACTGGAAGTACATCTCTGAAATGGATACACGCTTAACAATCAAAGATAGTTTTGTATATTATGGTTTAAAAAATAATGTAAACTCAGTATTTGTTTTCTTTTGTGTTTGTGTAACAGGTACGCTAAGGATGATATGAATATCAGAGATCAGCCGTTTGGTATCCAGGCAAGTTACGTAAATTTCACTCTGTGGGATGTCTAGGTTATCTTTCAAATATTGTCTAGCTGCAGCATTCACATGAGCTCTCTTAATTTTATCATCTGTTTCTCAGTGAATTTAAAAGCTTCTCTTATGCCTAATAACAGACATTTCTGTGAATGTTAAGCTATGTTGTTAACTAAATTATGTCAAGTCTTTTATTTTTATTCTTTTTGTTCCTTTTAGGTGCGGAATGTGAAATGTATTAAATGCCACAAGTGGGGCCATGTAAACACTGACCGAGAATGTCCCTTATTTGGCCTGTCTGGAATTAATGCCAGTTCTGTCTCCACTGATGGTTCAGGTAGGCAATGAATATCTTTTAAAGATGCAGGTTAGAAACCTTTGGGGAACTTACCATGTTTAATTTTAGGATGCTTAAGTTTCAATATTTCAAAGAGTTGATGAATTAGGGAAAATGCTTCTTTATTCTAAATGTAGGGTCCACAATTTCAAGTTAAATATTCCAAATGACAGGGACTTAATTTTTTTAATTAGTAATGCATTCTAAAATGATGCCATAATGAATGTTGCTTTGCTTCTATCTGTGGCAAAAATTGAGAAGCTGCAACAAGATTGTTTATATCACCATGAAATATTTGTGTCACAAAAGAAAAAAAATGGTAATAGATCATCAAAGACTGTCCCAGTTCAGATTCTGGTAAACTGCTTGGAAAAGCTGGAACTGTATCAGTGTATCTTTGTGAATTACTTGGAAAAAAAGGAGAGGTTTGGGGTTGTTTCACATATGTAATTGTGCTTCTGTAGGTGGACAAGCAGTTGAAATCTAGATTTCCAAATGCCTGGTTTCCTTTCAGTGGCTTCTTGCTGCTTCCTGAGCTACATTTTTTTGCCTCCATTAGTTTTCCTGTTATTTGAAATCACAAAGTGTTAGATGAGGTTTGAAGAAGTGGGTATTCTAGTCTGAGGTCCCCCTGCGCATGGCAGGGGATTTGGAAATAGATGATCTTAAGGTCCTTTCCTACCGTAACTGTTCTATGATTCTATATAAACATTCAAATTTAATCTCTTTTTTACCTACAATACTTTGTTGTCCATAAGTTGTAATGCTTTTAAGAGATTGTGACACCGTAAAGAAACACTTGGTAACATGGGTGAGTCTTCAGCCTTTCTGTACTGTGCTTTAAGATCATGTGCCATGTTGTGTATTCGGTTTTGCAGGGATGCCATTACAGTTGCACACTTAATAATACCTAGTTTCTTCTGTCTTTCCTCAGGTTATCTGTTTT